AAAAAAAAAAAAAAAAAAAGAAAAGAAACACCCACAAAATTCCGCCCCTGTATTTACGAGGCAAAACTTTGCTCTACGTCCCGACGAATGTTTTAACTTTATCGCGAGTGAAGTATGATTTTACGATCCTGGTTAAATATGCCTACGTCGTAAAATTAACAGCGTTTCCATAAAGGAATCCGCTGTTACATTAAAACTTGATAAAAGCCAATAAAGCATCGCGTTACGGTTAGTTTATTACCGCGCGATGCGTCCGACGTAGTTTGGTAAATCGTGTTTCAGACGGGAGGGGACTCACGGGCGTACCGACCCGAAGGAGTTTCCACGATCCGTGCTGATGGTCCTCGAGGACGTCTTCCTCGGTGTAATCCCAAAGCGAAGGAGTGAACGTGTAAGCGATAGCAGCGCTGCACAGTGGGGTATGCAAGAGATATATATTTATTCGCTAACCAGGCGAGACAGGTAACAACGTCAGTGCCGTAGCCCAAAAGGAAGGCACCCTGAACTTGTCGCGGCCGTAAACCCCGGCTCGAATCAATAAAAGAGAAATAAAATGAAGCGACTCTAATGGGTTATGTTGATTTCATGGTGTCTCTTACATACCACCGACTTTATCCGTATACGATTGCCCGACCCTTGCCATATGGGAGCATAGAAGACACTGTACCATGACAATCCAATGCAAAGCTACCGTATTCGGGATCCTTATGAAAAATAAAATTCAGTGACGTACCAGAAGATCCACGTAGTCAATTACCAGAGTTCAGGTACCACCGTCACTACGTAGTATCAGCTATCTACTAGGTCGTTATCAGTCTCGATAGTCACGCTCTCGTCCACAGCAAAAGCAATAGTAACCAGGAAGAGTCTTCAGGTATTTTCTCCCGTGCGAGATCAGCTTAAACGTGCAGTCGCAAAGGAGAAAGGGCCCCAGGCCACCTCGGTCGAGATCAGACCGGGCACAGCCAAGTCGCGCATAACTCTTAGGATCTAGTGGTTTCTGCCTTTGAAAGTTTATGCCGATTCAGGAATGAGTTGATTCATGAAGACGGGAGAGACCTCCTTGGGATCCGCGGTCCATTCTCCAAGGCCGTGGCGGGTGGTCCGCGAGTTGATTTCTTGTTTCCCGCTGGAGCCGATCAACGCTCGGGGAACGTCGTTGGCCGAGGAGACCAGGGTGGAGAGAGAGAGAGAGAGAGAGAGGTTAGCATTCCCCTCGCCGTCGACCACGTGTGTATATTACACACATCCGTACATAGTATACCTACCCACGTATATAGATTATACACATTGGCTATCTATATAGAGATTGTCGATTTAAATGTTTACTAATAACCAGACTTGTCCCGCAACCACCCAGAAGCGGTCGCTTTGCATTTTTATAAGTACACATCCTCGGAGCGCTTCCAGGAACAGACGTTTCATATTCATCCAGCAGCCGGGGAGCTGCACGTACCGCCCTGGTATTGTCCTTGGTCCAGGTCCACTTCTAGGTGTACGATCAGTCCTTCTGTCAATGGGTACTCGACCAGACCTAGTAATTCGCCATGTGCACCAGCAGTCTCGACCGGCCTGTACCTGGGGTACAGCTGCGCCGTGCTGAGAAATCCGGCGGTTCGAGAAATCCCCTAGGGATTTTGTAGGACTGGAACGACTAGTGAGAATCTAGTGAGAATCTAGTGAGAACCGAGCTCTCCGCAGGCATTTACTCACCCCGTCAAGTAACAGGATCAATATGGTAAGCAGTCCCGGGAAGAAGTAAGCGTCACTGTACCGCTGCTAGCTGCTGCTCGAACAAGCTGCAAGAAGCTTCGGGTGCGCCTTTAATTACCCGTGGTAACGAGTAGCTAACATCCCCGGCAATAAGAAGCTGGACGCTTCGGGTGTTAAGGGTCGTGGGGGTACATGAAGCTGACTACTAAACTGATGTTGCTCGTTTATCTCGTAATGATTCGTTTATTGCGGAAAAAAAAGACACAGGCCGTCGGGCACCGAGTGCCAATGTGGCATCGGTGAAATCGTACGTGAAACTTTGGACATACCAGTGACTAAAAGAAATGGCGAGGATTCGTTTTCAATTCTCGACGCGACGTGATATGTGCTGGATCGGCCGTTGCGTCACGGCCACTCTTTTTTCTCCTCTCTTATACATTCTCTCTTTTTCCTTACATCTTCCTCCGCCTTCCTTCGCTTTCTCTGCTTGCTCTTTTTTTTATTTCTTAACGTACTAAAGCTTCGGCGCTACGTACGCGCACGACTTCCGGTTTTAACCAAAATTTAGGAATTATGCGACACGGTCGGACGCAACGGGAAGTACGATGTTTGAACCACGGCGGATTGCGAGATTTTCAAAATCGATCTTCGTTATTCTCGGATAAAATTTATGATCCTCGTGAGATCCGTTCTTGGAACAGAGAGGTGAAAGGTGGGCTTGTACTTTTTTTTTTTTAATGAAAATCTCTATGCTGTCAAAAATAAAGAGTTAGACTAAACCTCTTTCAATCGATGTTTACGACACGCGATTTTTGGTTTAGAAAAAAAAGAAAAAAAATTATACGGGGATGATCCATCTCGCAATCTCCTGGCACTTACTAACTCATACCTCGTGATGAGCGACTGAGTCGACGTAATCAGTTATATTATAAACATTGCAATAACAATAATAATCATTAGTATGAATTATGATTCAGATATAATAATAATATTGTGGCTACTCTACGTACAATACATATACACTGCCGGCGGCAGGCACGGCCGGTAATCGCTACTATTTACAAACGCATAAATAATTAATAATTATATGTATAATATTTATATAATATTAATTTCAAGTCGACACTAGGTTGTTATCATAATAACAATAGCTATAAGATAGTCAGGTATATAGGCTACGGATTTTCACATCTCGCCGTTACTGTATCTCGGATCAGGATGAGGTGGGGGGGATGGATGAGGGTTTTTCCACGAGGATCCAGGAATAGCAGTAGGGACGAGGAAGGGGTGCAAGGGAGCGGGAAGGTATAAGGACAGGTGAAGCAATCATGAAATTCAGATTCGTTCACGCTCTCATTCTCTGTACACTAATTACAAAGTTGTAGTCTCTTATTGTCAGCCACACGCCTCGTGCCCGGATGATCCTCGAGGATACCAAGGCCGAAATCACACTCGTCCCGGAGACTTGAGCTCCGAGGGCGGCAGGTTATTGCCGCCAGGATGGGGCGACTGTTCCGATCCCCCGGAGGACGCCGTCGAGGAGGAGCTCGGCGAGACGCCCGAGTTGGCGGTCGTGAGCAGAACGGGTCCGCCGATGCTGCCGCCGTTGATGGAGAAGGGCTTGGCCGTGCCCGAGGACGAGGACGAGGAGGAAGTCAGTATATTGGGTGCACTGGATGGTGGCATCACGCCACCGAGTCCGCCGAGGGTCCTGGAATAGGTCTCCAGGAGGGACATGTCACCGGAGCCAAGATGCGACGCGCCATAGAAATTCCTGTAGAAGTCCGGATGAGGTCTGACGAACTGGGAGCCGGGGTGCATGGCAGGATGAAGCGGATGATGAGGCGGAAGTCGACTGGCCAGGGGGCTCACGAGCTTCCCAGGTGCCCCGCCGCCTCCTCCGCCAGCCCCGTACGGCGAGGGCAGACCAGTCATCGTGGGATTAGGACTATGATGGTCGCCATCCTTGCTGGCCATGTCCGCCAGGGACCAGATCCTCGGCTTGGTCGTGCTACCCGTGGATGATGCACTGGTGCTGGGTGGCAAGTGATGGCTACTTGGCGAGGTACTCTGGGGCGGTGGATGATGTAGAAGTCTGGCATGAGAGGGTGCCAGATAGGCTGGGTGCTGCAGCTGAAGGGGATGCCTTGGCTCCCGCTGATCGTACAGACACTCCGGGCTGTCTGGACCACTGTCCGCCCTTGACTCGCTCCATTCGCTCTCGGTTCTACCCTGAAGACCTGCCGGTACGCCCCCGCTGCCGTGGAGAAGGTCCAGTCTGTGTGCAGGTCGCTCTCCGTCCTCGCTGGATCCCGTACCCGAGTCCTTTGAGTCTGCGGAACGAACCACCCTCTCAGATCTGTCGCCTTCTCTCGCGCGTTTTTACTTTCCAAATCTTCGCAAGGGGGGGACACCTAAGGGGTGCTTTTTTTCTGACAGGATATCGGAGTATATAAACAAAGGGTCCACGACGTGGGAATGGCTTTGAAAAATTAATCGACCTACCCTTGGGAACATATTGCTCCTGGACAGTCTACTGAATATATTGGAAAGAAAGAAAAAAAAGAAAAAAAAGGGTCCGATCACTTATTCCTTTAAGTTCGCCAAGAAGCCCGAAAATCCAACCGGAACGTCCCAATAAATTATCCCGGAAGATGCTGCCAATTATTCCTCACCTAGTCGATCCTTCTCGTCCACGCTCTTCCTGCCGCTGTCGTCGTCCTCGTTGTTATTGTCTTCGTCCTCGACTCTGTTCCTCGGCTCCCACGTCATCTTATTCTCCTTCTTCAACCTCCGGCGGGCGTTCGCGAACCACGTGGAGACCTGGGTCAGGGTCATCTTGGTGATGATGGCCAGCATGATCTTCTCGCCCTTGGTGGGATAGGGATTCTTCTTGTGCTCGTTCAGCCACGCTTTGAGGGTGCTCGTCGTTTCCCTCGTGGCGTTCTTCCTCCTGGCGCCGTTCAGGTCCATGCCGTATCTGAAACAACGTAAAAAAAATAAAAACTTAGAAAAGGAATTGCCTAAAAAAAAATCGAGACATCTGATCTCATCCCCAATAGCCATCGAAGAGGACATCGCGGGACTCGCGCGAAACGATTCAACGATCGGAACGGCGAACGAGGATTCGACGTCTGCGAGGACTCATGTAAGAAAAGTTATCCAATCGGCAGGACTCGTTACGCCTCGTCGTAAAAGTCCGAGTCCTGCCGAGCGAACGGTAAGCGGTGGGTACCACTTCCATCCGAGAGCAGATCTCTATCTAACTGTTTAAGCTCTTTCGTTTCACGTTCAAGTCGGAAGTCCCCCAAACTCGAGCGACTCCCGTTGCTCCCGGACCAACCCTCCAGGACCCCATTACTAAAAGACTAACCCTTATCAAAGATTAAACTTCGGTATAACTGCTGAATCGACGGGATCGAAATTAAATTTTCCTCGGGGCGGATACCCGGTGGGGTCTTAAGACGGTATTTCTCCTTTTTCTTTTAACTCATCACACAGATACGGTACCCAAGATAAAGCCATAGTCTGAATTCGAGAGGTACGCGACAAGACCGAGTTACCCAGAAAAAAAAGAAAAGTGACAAAAAATTAAAGCAATGAAAAATTCCAAAAAAAATTACCACAAAAGTAAATTTTGTCACTCCAAAATTATTTGACCCGTGTGATATCCTACTCGTGGTATCGGACGAAACTCGCGATTAATTCAGCGGCTGTGACAAGGACGTACAGCCAGAGGAGAATTTATATTCCATAAATTGCCAGCATCATTGCCAAGGATCCCTAGAGATTTTCCAAGGGTGAAAAGAGGGGAGGAAAAGAGCTCCGGTATCAATCCGCGAACAACGAGACAGTCGTCCCGGCAGCGGGAGCGTCGTCACGGTGCGACGCCATTATTGAGTTTTATTTCGTCCCCATAGGTGTGAGGGACGATAGGAGGGTGTTGCCCTGTCCTGCTACCCGGTACGTATTGCTGTGCTGTGAGAGAGAGAGAGAGAGGGAGGGGGGGTAGGCAGGAGAGAAGGGTAGCAAAACGGGAGATGGGAAATTAATAAAACTGTCACTTATCTACCCCATCCCGCGGCAGCACGGGTTGATGCCTCGGGCATGGCCCGATGCTACATCCAACCCCCCATATCAGCGGCCACTGCATACGGGATCGCAGCGGCTGAAACGATGCGCTAAACATTTCAATTTGGCATCAGCCGCCTCTGCACAGCCCTATATATCTATATCTGTCCCTATACGTCCTACGCTACACTCGAGCCACAGAGTGCTATTGCGTCCTGTCCCATCCCATCCATCGGACGCACGACGAGCGAGAAGAGGATCCGGAGCACAAAAGGTGCACCCGGTAGATCCATGTGCGGAGAGTCCAGAGAGGCAAAGTGAGTGGGGATAGGGGTGTAAGGGGGGGACAGAGTGAAAAAGGTGGGAGAGAAAGTAAAAAAAAAAGAAGAAGACAAGAGGAAGCGAAATTCAAGGGAGAAAGAGGACGGGGAGGGGGGGGGGAGGGCGGCTTAACCCTCAACCCCCTGCTCTGTTTGCGAGGAGCAAATGGCGTTCTGCAGTTATTTTAAAATTCAAGCATGGCAGGGGAACGGATTAAAAAATCAGAGTGGAAGCTTGTTTCTCATGATAACAGCCAGCCGCCCGAGAGAACGCGAACTGCTGCTCCTGCTCCTCCTCTCTCTCTCTCTCTCTCTCTCTCTCTCTCTCTCTCTGTCTGGCTACCGGGTACCCCCGTACGTTTCGCGCTCTCGGTCCTACCGATCTGTCTCGTCCCCTGCGAGACCCAAACGCCATAGCCGGGAACGGCGCTAGGCGTTGCTCCAGCTGTATTCCTATACTACCGCCACTGTCTGTACTACCGACGTTGACGGCGTAACCCGTCGCCGCTTTAAACACCGCCGGCAGCCTCAGCCGCGTGCAATGGAATATCGCGGCGACCCTTTCCTCTCATGCGCAAACTGATCGCATCAACTGCTTGTTTCCATGGCGATTGCTAATCGGGCCGCGCTTCAGGCTCCCAAAACCCACCAACGCGCCCTCGTCAATCCTGCACCGTGCCAAACTCCAACAAACTCCATTCGCTGCTGCAACGTCCCGTCTCTCCAACCCCCACCCAGGTCTTCCGTGTCTGGTCCACTCTTCCATTTATATCCTATCTCGTCGGAACCCTCTCTCACGTATTCCGGGACGTTTGCGATATTTTACTATTTTTTGTAGAGGGTTGGGGGGGGGGGATGAAAATTTTAATAAATTCCACCTCAAAATATAAGCTGCGTTCTCCAAGATGGACGTGCACGATCGTCGTAAAATAATTTTTCAAACTGGCTCATCTTTTTTTTCTTCCTTAATACCGGTCGTCGACCGCGAATCGACGACCCGAAGGGGGATGCTCGTTTCCATGCAAAGGAAGACGTACGCGTGCACTTCCCTCTAGTCGACTCGACTGAATTATCTCGACGATATAACCGGTCGAGCGTAATGCGTCCATCATGGTGCAACATGGGGGCAGCTCATGGGCAGCTCACGGGCAGGTGTGTTGGCCCGGGACTCCGCCCCTTGTCACCAGTTACGGCCAGGGGTGATATCTGACTTCCAACCCTCATTTATACGTAGGGAAACAGCGCGTTACGTTTTATCAGCACGAAGGGTAGCCATTCGGTACAGGTTGGCGCCATCTTCTACCTTTCATGGACGCGCCCGCTCTCACACGCGATCCGTCTCCCTATACCCATACGCAACCGTGAACGCAGCAGCCTATCCGTGGCGTTTGAATAGCCGAGGCCACGCACGAGCGTAATCGGCCGTGAAGCCACGCCAATGCACGGCCGACTGCCTCTCCTTGTCCTTTTGCCATTTTTCGACCCCGGCCTGCCCCGTGCTACGGTTTTCCGGGAAGACTCTACGAGTTATCGAAATTACGTCATACGTCTTGAAAAGAAATAATAATAAAATTCAGAGTACCCTCAGGCTGACACATGCCGAGCGTCACTCGTCATCGTAAATTATAGGCAATAAGATAAACCATCGACGGAGAAGCGTGAACGCCTTGCGTAAATATTCAGGGTAGACTGGATACGCTCTCCTCTGTATAGGTTATGAGTCCAAAGGCTGCGCCCGTAGGAAGCACAGAGGGTCCTTTCATCCCCAACGACATACGAAGTATCCAAATACGTAATTTGGGGTCGTAAAGAGAAATAAGACTCGATGAAATCTGTGGACGAGTCAAGAGGTCAAAGTTGAGAATTTCAAATGGGTCACATTGAATTTTTTTTTTTTTTTTTCCGTTCTGTCCTAAGTTAACGTCGACAATCCCGGAGTACATTTTTCCCAGGATACTCAGGACTGTGCCAAGGGGTAGAAGGCCCCGGGGGGAAGGTCCCCTGAGCGATGGGACCGATGCAGAATATTTGTGGCTAATGACGAAAGTCGGTCTGGCGTCTACGACGTCGGTGTCGTCATGGCCGACGTCTCCCGCGGATGATGTACGGCCGTTTAATGACCCGGTTACAGCAGGGGATGCTTTTTGTCCGGAGGCTGTACCCGCAAGGGTTAGGAACGGGGGCCGATAATGCACCAGGCTTGACAGTCAGTCAGAGTCAGTGACACGATTTGGGGAGGGCGGGGCTGACACGTAACATCGAGACGCACTAACTCTGCAGATGACGGCAGTCAAGGCAAATGATCCTTAAGTCGAATATTTAAAACACCCGGTATACGAAGAAACACGTATCCGCGAGAGTTCCATTCGTTGGATCGCTCCCAGTCCTCAACGTCCGATTACGAGTCGAAATTATTCCGCAAACTGTAATTACCACGCGCGATACGAAAAACGCTTAAAAAAATGTTGTAGGTAATTTTTGAAAAAAAAAATCAAAATTCCTCGTTTAACGAAAATTTACATATATTTCGTAAAATCGAATTACGTTGTATCATTACGTATCGTCAGGCACGAGACTCCATGCAAAGCAAGCGGCACACGGGTGCTTAATTCGATACGAAGTAAATTTTGTCAAGCAGCGCTGACCCTTGTCCAAATTGCATAATTAAATACGACAAATTAAACGTTGCAACGGAGTCGACGGTGACAATGAAAAAATTGTCTCCGACCGTCGCTGAATCGATTGCCTCGTTAACCATACGCGAGCTGGTTAATCGTCAAGTCCCGGCCGTCTCCCGAAAAATGTCCTTCGGATTCTCTGGCTTCGATAAACCTCTCGAATCACCAGAGCTTCGATTCCTTCCATACGTAATCCGCATACCGAACGCACCGTGTCATTTACAGGCATACTTACGTATAAATAAGTATCGGCAGAGGCAGCTACTCGCGCCGCCCAAAGACATACACGAGGCGCTCGTGTAAGCGACTATGGTTACTCCTTTCTTATTGTCTACCCTATATGTCCCCGGAAGCAGGGCCAATCCGCCGGAAAGACGAGACCGTTAACCCGCACGATCCCGACCTCGCGTCCGCGCATGCCGACGTTGCATTATTGGCTCTTTATATGCTTATGCTAAGTGCCCGACACGCTCGCGCATAATGCCTGCAGATCGGTCGCGCATGCGATCGGAATTTACGTAACGACGTGTCTTCAATACAGCGAATTGAGAAAAAAGAAATGTATCCTAAAAGTCACACGAGACGGCGTAGTAAGGACGACAGGGGAAGTCGAGGTCCTCGAGCGCACCGAATTCGGACACCCGTACGATTCCGCATTGCCGAACCAGGTCGAAGTGCTATTCTCATTCCGTGCATAGCCGGCCGGCAGGTGCACTCGACTACGTCCGATTCCTTTCCGGTCGTCGCTCCTTGAGCAGTTCCGGCGTCCCGATGCCCGAGGCTCCCGCCGGCGGTAGGTCCCTCGGCCAGAGGAGCCAGCGACTAGACCGAATGGATGCTAAGCAAGCTGTAGTACTCGGTCGCTTCCTTGAATACGAATCGCCGAGAGACCGGAAGTGCGTCACGTCCCAGTCGATTCCACGAGGTGTCCGTCGGTTCTTACCAGGGCTGGCGTTACCATAGCGGGTCGTCCTAACTACGACACGGCGATACGTGACCGGTCGCCAGTCGCTTTGTTGCGAACGCGCACGAGGCTGCTGTAAAGTAAATACCGGAGGATCCTTAACGAAGCGGGCGATAGTTATTAATTATCCTCGATATTATCGGCCGCGATACACAAATAAATACAGATACACATTTTTCTCAACGTTTACTCCACCTAATCTCTGGCTCATTCATCATCGGGACCGCCGAACGTTTCTCCGCGCGTCCGTAACAGCCGACCGCGCGCTGTACAGCGCGGAACGTTGGAAACCCGATAGCCGGGAGGGACGAGAGAGAATGATTGGAGGAACGAAAAAAATTGAATGAAAATAAATATTCAAGCAGAGAGACAGTCTTGGGTCAACTGTCCGCTAATTTATTGGAATGTTTATGTGTCGTTCGTCGCTTTATCGCTTTACACGCGTATCTCGTAAAAATTTATAAGACGAGCTACGATTGCTCAATCGAACTTCCACGTCGAGTCTCGCCGTAGTCGAGATTCCGAACGACGATTCAATTCACGGAGACGCGGCACCCGCGAGATCACGGAGACGCCTATGATTAACGAGGAGTTAATTATTTTCTCGGCCGATAAAGAAAATCGAGAAAGGCCCTATACTACGTTATAATAACTTTTTTCTTCTCTTCGCCCGTGACGCCCTGCACGGTCTGTACATAATAAACATTACAAATCTTCTATCGCACAATCACGTACCCAGAAGTCTAGATTTCGCTCGTGAGCGATAACGATTCTTCGAGTTTGGACCTCGCGGCTATCCTGACCGTTAATAAGTATCGATGTCTCGTGGATGAATTTTATCCTTGATTCACCGGCGGGTTACGCGGATCTCCTGACGACTTTATCCTTTTTAATGGGACGACCAGGCGACAGCGGATGATCCGAATCTTCGTCGGGGTGGACGGGCGTGTGGCAGGTGCCTTCTCCTTATGCTGGTTTTACATTAGGTTCTTGGCTCTGCGGGTTGGATGTATGTATATATGCATCGACCAGTCATCCTTGTGCTTCTCAATCGGAAAGAGAGCTACTAGCCGATGCTATTCGACTTGAACTCTGACCCCGGGAACTTTGTATCGGTACGATCTGATACGACTGGAGTCTTTATGGTTTCCTTTGGCTGGTAGACGAGGCTACGGGGACATTACCGGCTGAACCGAAATCCAAAGAGGGGACGCCCGGGGAACAGTCAACCTGGGGAATTGCCAGTGGGGTCCCCTTGAGGAGGATCCGCATAAAAATTACGAGCCTGACATTCTTCGTTCTGACGGCACCCGCGGGTTTTACTATTCGCACGTATTTGTGTTTTTTTTTTTTTTTAATTTTTTTATCCGCCCCTACTCTCTTCCCTCACTTTTTCTTTCTTTCTTTCTATTCTTCACTCACCCGTTGAAGGGATAACTTGCGAAGGCTGCGTCGTAGGGGTGGTAGACTGACGGGTACGGCCATGCTGCTGCTGCACCCGCACCGAGGTTTTCCTTCAGATCGAGTCCTGCGGCCTGAAAAAGAGTGAAACGATGTTAATCGGAGAAATCACTTTCTTTTATGTACAAATTAGCGTTAGTATTGCTGTCTTTTCATTTTTTCAAAAAATTTCGATTTTTCAAAAAAATAATAATTCTATGATAATAATCATTAGAACGGATGCGTGTGACAATATTTTTCTTCTGTAACCTATGAACCCACGACTTCGCTCGACGACTCGAAGCCTTCTTGATACGCTGACTAATCGAATTGTGCCCTGACGTTACTTTTTGAAATACGGGAAAATCGTGAGTTTCCCGAAAAAAAAAATTAATCACGATTTCACGTTAAATCGAAAAAAAAAAAGGATTCGTGGAAGTCTCCCGATAACGATGAACACGATTGCAGCGTAACTACACCATTACGAGTGTGTTTTGATATCGGATAATATGGCTTTTATGAATTTATGTCGCACGGTTATTCTCCGGTTCGCGTTGTGTGGTCCGATAACCTTTAGGTGCAATGACAGTCCTTGCATTATTAACGTCCGTACTTAACCAATGATATCTCGATCGGCTATAAAACTGATCACCAAACCGAAGCAGGCCTATCGGGCTCCCGACTGAGCTTGGCCATTCCTATATAGGAATATCAGCAACACCCGGTTGCTGACTCGATACCAAGAAGCAGCAATACATCAGCACGGTACCAGAGTCGACGCTACATTCTCGGAGGTCCAAGAGCGAGCGATGAAATTCTCAAAGCTAATTCGTCTTATTTCCACGTAAGGAACTGGTACGCATGAGAATGCAGAGGAGCCTACGGAAGCCCCTTTCGCTCAAGCTGGCTGAACTCGATTTCATCGAGCGAGTCTTATCGCGAGGCTTCCGTGCGCGGGCGGCAAGTAAGTAGAGTTGGGTCCAAGAAGAGGAAGCAGGAGACGGGACCAGGTACAGGTGGACCAAGATAACTCAAAATGATTGGGAATCATCTTACAAGTGGAGATGAACTTACCGTCGGCGTATAGAAGGGTGCCTGCTCGGCCCCCAGGGCCGGGAAGTAGGCAGCCATCCCCTCGGATGCTGCGGCCGCTGCAGCCGCGGCGTAGGGTGCACTGTACATGGAGAGTGCAGCAGTCGGAAGACCTCCGAGTCGTTGGTACCCACCGAGAAGTTCGTACTGACAGGAGCAGACGGTCTGCCCGGTGAGAGGATCGGTGAAGATGGGTCTGCCGGTGTCGCAGCATCTTCCACCAGGAGGTCCGCCGGCGGACGGGGGTGGATGGGGCTGGGATGGACTGACCGAGGTGGTCGGGCTCCCAGGTGGTCGCACTACGGCACTGGTCACGGCCATCCTGACGCTCTGCAACGGGGTGCCCAGGGGAGTGGTACCAGCTGCGCTCCCCAAAGACGAGACGCTTCCGGCACTGAGGATGGGCGCGGAAGCCGGCGATGGCGAGGTCGACGCTAGCGATGAGCTTGCTGTCACAGGACACTGTAATCCAAAAATGAAAGGGTACGATGTACTTTAGAGAACTAGAGAGAGAGAGAGAGAGACTGATGGTACAAGCTTAACCAAGAGTAACAGGATGGACGATGCTGGGGACCCGGAGGTGGCTGAAGATTTCCAAACGTCGGCTTCGAAACCTGAAGGCAGCTGCTTGTGGAAAAACTACCCCACGGGTCACAACTGTCACGGAGATCTAGCTTGGCTCTTCTACCCTCCCCCCGCCGCACCCTTCTTCCTTTTTCGAAAAGGTAAACCCAAAGCCACGGTCAGATATAATACCTGGGCTCATTAATTCCATATCAAACACTACGGCTAAATAGATTAGCAGCTTGAGTGCCTTTTGCTTTGGGCCTAAACAAACCCTCTGTGCTCCACGCGAAACGCCCTCCTATCCATCCATTGTAACCCCCAAACATATTGTCATCCCCTAGTTATTGTGTGCGAGGACCGTGTGTTTCGCATTATAGTTCCGTCGCGTTAATGCGTGTCGCCGATACGAATTCGAGGGCCAACTGTCGCAATACGTGCGAACGGGGCCGGTTCGCACGAACGAGGAGTCATCGAGCGAGAAGAAATAAGGGAAAAGGAAGAAAAAAGGGAAAGACAAGCTTCCACACTTCTCGGAGATGAATCTCGGAAAGACTTTTCCAAGGATCCTAACGGGTATCGCCCGGGCGCCACAGGTAGGAGGATCCTGGGCGTCTAAGGTTAAACGACGAAGCGTGTTGCGAATGACCCTTAGGCCATAATTCAAGGGCCGCGAGTGGCTCCCAGAAGGAGGCTGCACGTACGGTAGGTACAGTCGGCGATCCGGGAGCCGAGCAGGAGGAGATAGGAGGAGGAAGGAAAAGGAGAGTAAGGAAGACAAGTGAGAGAAGCCGCACGTAACAGAAGACACACGTTACTCGGTACAAGCGCCGTACCAGGCCTGAAGTCGCCCGAAGCGACTGGCAAGTACCGCGTGCCAGATGAGAGTAGGTATAGGCCAAGTAACGAAAGCAATAATTATTCTAATGAGAGAGGCCGATATATATCGGCGCATTAGCTCGTTCGTTTGCTTGTTTGTTTGTCGAGCTGCTAATTGCTGCCGGAGGAGAGCGCCCGTAAGGTCCACCGGGTAGAGAGACGAGAATGTCATCCGGGAGCAGCTGCTCTCGACGTTTCGAGGAAGAAGCGGAAAGAAGAAGCGAGGAGGCTCTTCGCGACGTTCGCGTCATTCGAAAATGTTAGGCGCGTCGCGCGGAGTGGATGATTTTTCAGCAGGGCTTTTTTTTCTCGAAAAAAAAAAAAAAAAAAAAAAAAAAACGCGGGGGGGTTAAAAAAAATAGTCATACCCACGTATGCACGAGCACGACGGGTTACCCGCCATTCCCATGTATCTTGGACCGAACCAGCCACGTCGGAGTTTAACATGGCTATTTCCGTGATACCCAGGGAGGATCTTCTTGCCTTACGAAGAAAACACCCGGTACGCTCTGAATTCTTAGCACGGGGAAAAAGATCGGGGCGCGCTCGCACGCACGGACGCATGCACGCACGCAGACTGGAAATGCAGCCTCAGCATCTCGCGCGTCTTGCTCGACGTGGAAACACGCGTTAACCAACAAGAATCCGTCGGCTAAGAGGAACACGTTAGGGATCCTGATGCGTGTCGAGAGACGAACGTGCGAGAGCGACGTGCGTGCGAGGAGGAGCACCCGGTAGTTGGGATTTTCGAGTTTTTTTTACAAAATGACCATAAACCAGTAAGACATGGATATAGGGGGAAACCGTTGTAAGGAAAGAGGGAGACAGCACAGTGTGAGAGGAGATCTGGGTATAGGACGATCGGCCAAGCGAGTCTTCCCATCGGGCGTTTATCGGCAGATAAGGAATCGCGAGGACAGCCTCGGATCGGCATGCCGATCGAAAAGAAACGTGCCTCCAGTTCAAAAGAAATATACAGGAAGGCGAGGGGAGTGAAAAATTGAAGAAAAAGAAAAATAGCCTTATCCGCACTCGGGGCCATATCTTATCCGTGAAACAATTGCACCTCCTTGCTGTCTGTAAGTGCCGGGACGTGTTTCGCTGGATTCCCATGATTTTTCTAACCTCCGTTTGCACCGTGCGATCTGCCTGCACAAGTTGCCCGCTGGCCGATCTCTAGCCTGGCTACGTCGCTTTGCGGGGAACCCGTCAACTCCAGTTGCCGGCGAAAGGGGCTTTTGGGTTATGTATAAAAAATATATATCAATCATCCCAGTCGCAATAGGGGACAAATACTCTTCTTACGAATCCCTTTATTGCTCCGTGCAAACTGCCCGATATTCGCTCGCGACTCGTCGCGAAAATCGTAGCCTGGTACGGCACGGACTTACAATTCCATATGGAACCGCCGCTCGCCCTGTGGACACAGATGCAACCGTGTTTGCCTTCGAAGCATTTGTCACGCGTGTCCTGCAACTAAAAGGCAAAAGGGACCGGCGGTCCCTCTTTATGTGCCGATGATGCCCTCTTTGCAACGAGGCCCAGCCGAGTCAATATTTACTTCAGACCAGATTGATGGACCTCCCTGTGTACTTAGGTCCGCCACTACTCACTTATATTCCCACCCTGTAACGTCCTACCGTTACCTTTTACCAAATTCCCAAAGAGTCTCGTCCACACGCGCGATTAACTTTCCCAAGACAGATAAGACTCGAAGTCACTCCTTTTTTTTCTTTTTTTTTTCACGTACTGTAAAATCTCACCCGATCAACGGCAGGGTCCCTTGAACGAGTCCCTGGCAAGTCTACAGGGTAAACGACCTTAGGCGAACCAGGAAATCGTACGAATTCCCGAGCACCGAGACAGCCCAGCAGCGCGAGGAAATTCGACACTGCATTTCGCGCGGATGACGGTCAGCGAGCGAGAAAATAATGAACCGTGCACAAGACAATGGACCACCAACTGTAAACAAGATTTCCACGGAGTGCAGGATGAAATCTCAGCATCCCTGGAAACGAGGACCGAGACCACGTGGATTGTCAGAAACAAAGATATTCAATAAATCCGTCCCAAGAAAATCCGATCCTTCGAAAATTCAAAGAATCGCCCGACGTTCTCGCGCGACGGTACGAGAAAATCCTGTGAGAATTTTCATTGACCAGGGTGGCACTACGGTTCGCCGAGGGTGTCCAAGTGAAACCGGAGTGCCGGAAGTCCCGTCGACACAACTGTCAACAAGCAACATTGTTCCGCTGGAGTGCTCGTACATGCGTGGCCAGCGGTTGCGTGTGCGTGCTCCGTTCATGCGCTGCCAGTGGGCCCACGTATGCACGCCACGTACGGCGTGGAGGTGGCTGAGGAACAAGAGGGAGCGAGAGAGACACGTCTACGGGCGCGCGCGCCCGAGAGAGAGAGAGAGAGAGAGAGAGGACTCGAACGAGGGCGGATCTGAGTCAGCGTGCGAGAGCTGCCAGGATCGAGTCGCGTCGAGTCAGCAGGAGACGAAAGAGCACTAACTGCTGCCACTACGAGATTATATACCTATAGCGTGGCCGGGCAGTGCTAACTTGCAATAATATGCCATTCATAATTTTTAAACGTCCCGTCAATGAGGTCCCACCGCGATAGCCTGTTTAATGGCGAAACGTACGTACGCATCGACACTGACTCGATTATGTGTCTTTTTTACACTTTTTTTTTTTTTATTTATTACAACCTACCGACCAAGTGGGGGACCCGTTCGCGAGCACGTACCCGGCAGGCCGAGGCGTTTGCCCGGTAATTAAGCAAGGCTCGATAAATTATCGACTGGTCCCACATACTCTCGTATACTCGTTTTCGCGCCGTTCGACTAATCGCCAAATTCTACATGGTCTTACCGTACACTGTCCTTAAAGTAACTGGGACATATTTACTTCTTTTTCCTTATCCGTCTTGTACCTCGTTATGTCCTAGCACGCACGTGCACCGTGCAGATAGACTAGTTCGCACTAGCGAAAGTAGTATCGGCGAATGTAATATATATATATATATATATATATATATATATATATAGATATATATGCAGATAGGATGCGAGCATTAATTAAGCTAATTAGCAGACATGTCGGAATATGAGATACTCATCGGACGAAGGATACAAAATTCTATATGCCACTTCCTGAGAGTCTATTTCCAGGAAGGACGCGTGTACCTGCACGAGATACGGTGATAAGAATTACGTGATAATAATATATCGTACTGATCGTGTGTCTGGTTAATCGCGAGAAATCAAAAGTTTCGCTCTAATCGATATTTAACTTTCTTTTCTTCCGATAATTATATATATATATATATATATATATATACGCTGTATAAATAGGAAAATTATAAACCGTAAAAAAAAGAGCACTCGTTCGAAATCCATGTATATGTAATCGATAGTTCGATATTTTCTCTTATCAATCGAATAACGCTGTTGCGTAATAACGATAAGGTAAATGCACCCGTCCACGACGTATTACATGTATCTAATAATAGTCCTATGGATATCTAGCATTGCATTACCTTAATGCATACATTACCCTAATGCACGCGAATCAGCATACGGATTAACTTGCAGCGAGCATTAAACACTACTGGGGGACTAATCAATGACTTTTTCTCGAGACTGTACCAGAAAATTATTAGCATTTACCGCACAGTCCAATTTTGCCGTTGTCGAAAAGGGCACTTTGCGAATCGCCCTGTTTTCGAGTCTCCGCAATTACGGGTTTTCCGAAAATGCATTCGTCGAGTCA